TTTTTCCATTACTAAAATAAATAGCTCATCTCTTAATATTCTCTATTTGATCAGAATTATACGGTTTCCACATTCCATTACATGGTAGCTTCAAACAATTAAACTTTTGGTCATACTGTAGATTACCAATTACGGATCCCTTCTCAGATCCAAAAACATGAAGCGAAATCCTTGAGCAGTTGAGAGTACGCACAAGATCCTCAATAATATCATAGACCTCATTGTCGCCTTTGAAATATTTTTTATTTTCCCTGTGATTCTTTACGGCATAACAAATATCTCTTTTGCTACTATATGAATTAAGAGTGACAATTTGTGTCACGTGTCGTGTTCATATCGTATTTTGATTGCTTTCTAAATTTACAGTCAATCCGAACACGACCCGTAACATGAAATTTTTTAAAAACCGCAACACGAACACGACTACTTTACGGGTTGACACGACATGACACAAAAATGACCCGTGACCGTGAACCTGAAATTGACACGAAAATTGTATATTTTTATTTATTTTTTTTACATATTAGAAATAACTTAAAATTCATAACACACTAAAATACAATAACATTTATTAAAATTAAACAAATAATAGTATAAGATTTTGAGTATAACTATCATGATATTACAAGTTCATAATAAAATAAAAAATATGTAATTTTTACGAGTTTCGTGTCGTGTTCGGATTAGGCGGGTCTAACTTAAAATTGATCCGTATTTTTTGTGTCAATTTCAAGTCGACTCAATTCTGACTTGAACTTTTTTTTTCTCAACCCTAACCCGTAAAATTCGTGTCGTTTTCGAGTCGTATTGTCGTATCATGACCTATATTACCGGTCCTAGTATGAATACTTGCAGCAACGTATTTTTTTAAAGAGTTGCGCCTTGCATTCCATAAGCGGATTATTAGAAGAACGAATGTACGTATTTTTTTTAAGCCGAAGCGAAGGCGTTTTGGAATCATTTATTGATTGCATTTCAAATTCAATATGAGGTGTTTGTGGGTTGTCAGTTTCTTTTTATGTTTATCTAATATAACACACATCTTAGATATAAAATAACACCCATTTTAGATCGAACTTCTGTGGTATCCATATCAATGGCTTCACAAAACTCAGTTCTCAATCCTAACTCCAACAATTTCTTTGAGAGAAAAGCGAAAACTCTGTCACTCAGTTCTCATAGGCTTGATCATAAGAAATCATATCCAGCATACTTGTGAATAAAACAAAAAAAATGATGGAAATTGATAGTGATGATTAAGGAATTAATGTGATGCCCAAAAAAGCTAATAATTTGTCTCTAAAACGATCCTACTGCAACGAAAAAAAGTTTTTAGCGATAAAACTTTTAAGTGACGAGTTTTAATAATTTAGCTATATGATGAAATTTTGTTGTTTGATTGACACTTTTTTAGTGACGAGATTTAATAATTTAGTGATGACATTGTCAATTTTTTACTTTTAATAATAAGTTTTTTTTTTTTGTTTTTTTTTTACTTTTTGCGATGACAAGTTTTTAAAAAGAATAAGCGTCTGTTTTTTGGAGTGTGATTTGAGTGTAGTTTTTGAGTTGAATTTGAATTATAACTTGAGTTGAAGTTGTAACTTGAATAAAGTTGAGTAAAATTGAATAAAATTTAAACTTAAAAAAACATGAACTTGAATAAAGTTATAACTTAAATTTTAATTTTTTTTAAATTTTATTGCAAAAGAACAACCCATAAATGACTAGCAACATGAGAAATTTTAGGGATGAGAAAAGGTATTGCTAAAGACCTTTTTCCTTGCAGTGTATATAAAGTTCACACAATCATGACCACATGTTCTTTTACTCACTATCTTTATTTGAAAAATGAGAAATTAAAGTTTCACTCATTTCACTGATTTAAGTTTTATTATAATAAAAAATTCTTAAAAATAATCACATTTAATATTTTTGTTATAATAAAAAATTCTCACATAAAATCACATCTCAACTCAAATTAAAAACTCAAATTAACAAATTAAATGGGCCTTAAGATACATAGTAAAAGAAATACACTGACCTTCATCTCCATAAAGATCAGAAGACTCACCACTCGATTGACTCATTTCCTCTAAATCTACAACTGACTTCTAGCTCTTTAGTTCTTTGAAGTTGACTATCTAAACCATAAAAACAACACATGTAAGAATTTAATCCAACTTTGATAAATTCTACCTTAAAAGTTCAAATATATTGGTGTAAGTGCGTGAATTTTTTTTTTTTTTTTTGAAATATTTTGGTTTCTAATTTGTTACAAGTTGGATAAGAGAAAAAAAATTAAAAAAAAAAAAACAAGATATCCTACACTTCCTTAAGAAGGAAACAAAGTAATCACAACAAAATTACTAACCAAGCAAATAAAAAATAATAATAAACAAGCAAGGTAGCAAAAACAAAATCAAACAATGAGTGAAAATGAGAATGAGTGCAACAAATTGTGGGGAAATCAGAGAAAAGAAAATGTATTTCTCAAATCTATTTTATGATACAAGCCTAATCAGCTATATATAGCTGTTTACAAGAGCCAAAAACAGCTAGCTACTATACACATTAAATAGAAAGCTAATACACACTTTTCCAGCTAACAAATGACAACTAATATATAACTATTTTTTCACACTCCCCCTTAAGCTGGTTCGTAAATATCATGCATTCCTTGCTTGCCAATTATTATTTGAAATATGGTATTGTTCAATCCCTTGGTTAGCACATCCGCAAGTTGTCAATCTGTGTTGATGTATGGTGTGCAAATGAGTCCACTATCCAACTTTTTGTTGTCAATATGTGTTGACGTATGGTGTGCAAATGAGTCCACTATCTAATTTTTCTTTCATAAAGTGTCTATCTACTTCGACATGTTTAGTCCGGTCATGTTATATAGGATTATGTGCAATGTTGATGGCTGACGTGTTGTCGCAATAGAGTCTCATATGTGCTTCCCACTTGAGCTTCAAATCTTCAAGGATTATCTTTAGCCAAAATAGTTCACAAGTTCCTAATGCCATTGCTCTCAATTCAACCTCAGCACTTGATCTCGTAATCATGTTCTGCTTTTTACTCCTCCAAGTTACTAGGTTTTCACCAAGAAATGTGCAATATCCTGATGTTGAGCATTGATATACCACTGAGCATGCATAATCAACATCCGTATAACCTTCAAGTGTCAAACTCGTTTCTTTCTTGAATAAAATTCCTTTCTCGGGAGTTCCTTTGAGGTAGTGTAGTATTCCGCGCACTGCTTGAAGGTGTGTTTCCAGGATTGTACATAAATTGATTGACCACACTGACAGTATATGCAATATCAGGTCTAGTATGGGATAAGTAGATCAATCGGCTAACTAATCTTGGATACTTTCCTCGATCTACCTTTATCAGAAAGGTTGGGGAACCAGTGAGGGTAGAGTGAGAAAGGGAGACTACAACAACTGAGGAACTTAAGGTAAAATGAGAACCATAGACATTTAGGGTGCGTTTGTTTTAAGGGTTCTGCATGGTTCAAATCAGGGTTCTTGATTCTGTTATAGTGTTTTTCTCTCACAAAAAATTTAAATTTCAAACGTCAGAATCATGAACTATAGTTAATTAATACGTCAAACAATTTGTATTTTTTTATAAATATTAGTTATGATATATTTATAAAAAATGTCTTAAATCAACTATAAGTGCTCTAATATGATCTATCAAGAGCTTCTATCAAATTTTTAATTAAAAATAAAAATAAAAAATTATATTTTCAATAGTTCAAGTTAAAAGTACTTCAAATTGTAATTACGTTAACTTATTTTAAGTTAGAACAAGAACAATATTATCGTATTTATGAAAATAAAATCCTATTTTATAGAACATAAAATCAAATAGAACAATATAGGGTGTACATGTGAAAATGAAAAGGATGTTTAACTAAGGGCATAGAAAACATAATTAAAAACTAATCAAATAGAAAACTAATTAGCTTGTACTATGAGAAGTAGAAAAATGTTTGATTAAGAGTATTTTCTAGAAATTATTTCAGTATAAGAAATGATTAGTCAAACTTATTTAGAACCCATTCTTTTTACAACTTGAATCTCCACTTAAATCTTTTGTCGTAGTGCTTTTTCTTATAAAAATTTAAATTTAACTTTTTTACTACAATATTTGTTCTCACATAAGTCAATTTTTAATTCAAGTTCTCAATATGAACTCATGATAAGGACGGATCCCTAATCTAACATGATTGTAATAAAAGTATTAGAGCAGGAATATATTTCTAAAAAAAAATTTGAATTGATAAATTACAGAGGAAAAAATAATTTTAATGAAGTGAAAATAACATCAATGAAGGACACAAATGTAAATAAAAATAATGAAGGGTCGAAAAACAAAAGAAGAAAAGTAAAAAAATACAGACCGAACGAAACAGGAGGTGACATAGATGCACAAGACATCAAAACATAGGCTTTTATACTAGGTAGATAGATTTAGGGCCTCTATAGAAGGTATATTCAAAATATGCCTTCAATTATGACATTTTAAATTTAAATTTTTATGAGTAAAAAATATTATAATAAAATTAATGATTTGAGTTTGAGTATAATAAATGAGTCTTCAGGGATCAAATCGTCACAAATTTAAGGCTCATTTAGTATATGAGTTCAAATTAGGGTTTAAATTAATGGTTTTGATTATGAGTTTTGAAATTTAAATTTCTTATAAGAACATAACACTGTAATAAAATTAAAACTATGAGATTCAAACCTATGAAGAACCTATATACTAAACATACCCTCAAAAGTTCAGCAGAGACTTCTAAAGCTATTAACCCCGCAATAAAATTACGGTAATGTCTATACTTTCGTTCATTTTCTCCTCGTTCAAAATGAGAATTTGAATTAAAAAATACATATAAAAAAAATATTATAATAAAAAAATTAAATTTAAATTTTTATGTGAAAAAACACAGCAGATGACTAGTTAGAATGAAAGGGCAACTATTTTGATTTTCCGCCTTTACGTCTGTCTTTCCAAATCAAACGCAGCATTACCATCCCATATATTCGAGTGGACTGGTGGGAGAGTAGAGGAGACGACAGGGTTTAGAGAGAGAAAGAAGAGAGAGAGAATGTCCGGGAGTGGAAAGAGAAAGGACGACGAGGAGTTCGCCTCCGATGACGGCGGCGGAGATGCTCCCCCAAAGAAAACCCTGAAGAAAGACTCCTCCTCCGACGACTCCGACGACGTCGTCGTTTGCGAGATTTCCAAGAACAGGAGAGTCTCCGTCCGGAACTGGCAGGGCAGGATCGTCGTCGACATTCGCGAGTTCTACGTCAAGGACGGCAAGCAACTTCCTGGCAAGAAAGGTAAAGGCTTCTCTTCTTTTCCGGTTTGAATTCGATTTTTTAGGGTTTTTGTTCTTTGAGCCCGAGTAATCTGTTTACTCTTACAAATGAAACCAAGTATAGATTTTTGATTTAATGCCTCTGCTGGTTTTTGCGCTAATATTGGTTCCACATTATGATTCGAAGTTTGAGTTTGTGATATTGAAGAAGAAAGTAGGAAGAAATGAGTTTTGGTATAAAGATAAAAATCTACTATGTTTGGGTTTTGATCATTTTCGTATTTGTTTTTGCTTGTTTTGTTGTGATAGTGTCAGATTTTAACCTAGAAACTGGGGAAAAAGCTATGATTAATTTGGTTCTTCACAAAGTACTTAGCTTTGTTTTCTTTCATACACCACTAGTATTAGCATATTGGGTTTGAAATCAACGGGAAGACATTAATTGTAGAGAGACTTGTGTGCATCAAGTTAGCAAAGAAGTTCTATGTAAAATTTTGAGTTGGGTTCTGATTTGGGGATTCCCTGCCAGGCTTTTGAACGGTTGATTGTCTTTCTAATGCTACTTTCCTATTAAGAAGTGAAAATGGAAACAATGGTTGCGTTTAGAATTGATTTCAGATTGTTTTTGAAAACGTTTCCGCACGTCTGTTGAGACACGAAAATAAAAACGGTTTGCAAACTATGTTTGTGTAGTAAATATTTTGAAAACGAAAACGAAAACAAAAACAAAAACAAAAAACAGTGAAAATAGTTTTTGTGAAGGAATTAGAAAACAGTTGAAAGTTATTTTTTCTTTTCTGTTTTCATTTTCTAGTATTTATCAATAATGTTATAATATATTAATTAATAATTATAACCAAATATGATTTCATTTTTTTATTGTACTCAAAATAATCTCTTAAAAAATCAATCAAACGCAATTTTAAAATTGGTTTCAAAATGATTCTCAAAACAATCTCATTTTTTCTTTTGTACTAAACACAAAATCATTTTAAAAACATTACCAAATGAGCCCAATGTATTCCCTTTCTACTATTTACCAAGTCTATGAATAAGAATAGTGATTATAACTTAGGTTCTAAAATGTCCTTGTGCATATAATTTTTTGGCTAAAAATTAGTACTAATATACATGTAACTTTGTGGTAAATTCCAATTGAGGGGGAAACAAAGCCATGGGGTAGGTTAGGATTTTGGATTCCCTTTACTAACTTCCCCTAACATGTGGTCCCCACCTTAGCATTCTTCATTTTGTAAAGATAAACACTGAGTGGGAAAGGAAATACTTCCCGCTTTGCCTTCCCTCTTTTACTTTATCCAGTCACTTTGCGTTAGTGTCTTGAAAGACCTTGTTGGAGCAATCTTTGCTCAATAGAAATGCACTTGAGATATATGGCTGTGATGTATGATTTGCGTATTTTCTTGCTGGAGTTTGTTGTTTATATTCCATTTGTGTAATAGTTCCAATTCAATCTGAGAATGAAAGGATTAGGGCTGATTATGACTTTAATTTAGGGAAGAGTTAGACTTTTGCCAGCTTTTTATGTTATGTCAGTCGCCTGCCATCATGATATAACCTGCCATTACCATCTTAACTATTAGTACTATCCCTCATAAGTCATAACTACCATTATCGCTAATGCCTAATCTAGAATCACCATTGCCACCTATTTCATAAAGTTCTACCACAATTTACCAGTACTTTTTGTTAGAAATGGTTCACTATTCACATGTACTTTTATTCGTACTCTCTCTCTCTCTCTCTGAAGATTATAGACGAAACTGATTTACAAAACTAAAATTCAAGATTCTGTTCCGTTATATAATACTTGAGTTAATACTCATTTCCAAGTTTCTTTTCTATATATATATATATATATCCAAACTCATTGTGCAATTATCTTGGCTATCGTACAAAGGTCACAATTTGTTTCCACTAAAAGGGCTCTCCTCTTTCCACGGGTTCCCTGAGAAGAGCATTTTAATTGGTTTCAAAATATGGGGGTCCATGTTTCATATGATGTTGCCTAAGAAGGGTTCTTATTTGAATGACTTTAGTTTGACCACACATGAGTGTAACTTGTACATGCTTTAAGTTTGGGTTGCACACATTTACATGATCTTTTGAATGGTGATTATCCTTTCCTAGTATGTCTGCTTGCTTTTCTTTTTATAACTAGAGCTTGTATTAAAATGGTTGTCTTCCTTTCAGGAATATCACTTACCATGGATCAGGTTTGGCTTTCAAAACTTCTATTCTTTAAAAACAGTTCTTTTTTCTTTTTCTTTTTTTGATAATTACTTCTTTAAACAATTATTGAGAGCATTTTGCACCGCTCATCTTAAATCTTGTTATGCAGTGGAATATTCTTCGGGATCATGTGGAAGAAATCGACAAGGCAGTTAATGAGAACTCTTAGGAAATTATTGTTGTTGGTGGAGGTGCCCTTTTGATCCTTTTGTTTATGACATGCAATATGGTACGGCTTTTAAACCATTTTAACACCACCCCATCAGTAGTTAGTTTGTTGTGGTGGATAGCCTTTGTAGGATTGTTGTCTTTTTGCTACCAGAAACTCTAGTCAGGTTGGTAGCTTGTTTTGTATTTAGCTTGTGAAATCAGTACTGATGATGTTTTATTTAGAACTCTAGGACTATGTTATCAACCGATATATATACTTACTTTTTGCTGGATAATATACATGCTTACTCGATACTGTCTTAACTGATATTTTATTTTGTTTTTTAGTGTTAAAGAGAATGTCGTAGCATTGTCTGTAGTGTTATGTCTCACCATCTCTTGCCTTTCCCTTTTTTTCTTTTTTTTTTTTTGAGAGAGGAATATCTCTTTTACAACTTGAGAAGTCATTGAGAAAACCTGATTTTAATCTCTAATAGTATGACACTTTTTGACTTTTGTCTCATTTTATGCTCCCTCCGCTCGTTGTGCTTTGATAACATCTATCTTTTTAGTTATTTTGTGTTATTGTTTAGGTTTCTATGTTAATTGTTTGGGAGTTTCTCTAATAGGTCTTGAAAAAATGAATTATCGGTAATTCTCTGCTTTCAGCGGCTAGATATGGTCAAAATTATATTAGATTGAAAAAGTATGCAGAACAAACATCATACAGATCTAATGGCTGAAGGCAAGAAATTACCGATAGTTCACTTTTTGAGGACCTATCAAAGAAACTCCTTAATTATTTTTGGAGATTTTTTAATTTGAGGGTGAGGAGCTTAATAATTTCTCTACTATGAAACATTTGTCCATGATAATGATCAAAAAGAGTAGATATCAATATTTATAATTCTTAACCATTAAATTTAGAAAAATTGGTGAGAAACAAAGGAATGGTGTCAAGGGTATATCAGTTGTTACCTGATCTAAATCGGGGATATCACGAAAATGCCATTAGTTTGGAGCCTTGATACGTGTCTGCTTTTCTTTTCTTTTTTAGGTTTATGGCATTTTAATCTATGAACTATTGAACGCGTTTGAAACTCGTTATAAAATAATTTTATTTTTTGTATGAAAATGAAAATGAAAACGTTTTTAATTTCAGACAAAAATCATTTTTAAAAATGCGTTTAGTAATTTTATCAAGAGATTGTTTTCAGTTTAAAAAAATTTATTAATGTCTCTTGAGCAGAGAGGAGAAAACGAAAAAAAAAATGAAAAACGACTAAAAGTTGTTTTTTATTTTTCTTATTTTACACTAAATTAAAAAATTATTTTTATTTCTGTTTTGTATCTTTATTGTATCAATTGATTTTTTAGAAACGCTTTTATTTTTATTTTTTTCAAAAAATGCGAGAAACAAAAATATGATTAATTCTAGACTACGACTATTATGTTCGAGTATTGTTGTTTGGAAGATCTATTTTGTATTTGGTACTGCATTATTTCATTTTTTTAAGAGCTCTGAATCATCCTCTTAAAGACTTGAACCCATCCTCTTTACGATAAATGATCTGCTTTCCCTTAAATGACTTGGCCCGATCGTGAAATCTAATTAGGGGCCTTAGATATAATTAAATAAAAAGTACTGAAGGGGCTATATTCTAGGAGCTCAAGCTATCTTTAACTTTTCAGACCTTTATACTTGTAATTATATAGCGTCAGCCGGGCACACAATCATACATACGCCCTATATGTAGGTTTTTGTTATGGTCATCTTAGAATGATAATACTTCCACCGTAACATGTAGAGTGAGAAACATAAAATGATGATAATTTAATGTCGTTCACTTCGCTGATTCGAATTTATAATTTGAGTTAAAATGTGATTTTATGTGAATTTTTTATTGTAGTAAAAAAGTTAAATGTGACTGTTTCTGATAACTTTTTACTGTAGCAAAACTCAAATTCTAAACTCGAATCGGTGAAGTGAACGGAGCTTTTAAATGTAACAGATGTTATTTTACGTAACATGAAAGTTATAATGTTCAAAAGAATGGCTTTTACATGGCATAACAAGTATCTAATATAACTTGAATGTTAGAAAGAACGACAATTATTAATATAACTTAAATGTTAGAAAGAGAGATATAACACTGGAGAAATTTTTAGTAATTCTAGAGTATAATTACATTTTTAATTTAGTTGAACATAATACAAACACCAAAAACAATAGTGGGTAATCTTGATAAATACTCTTTGAAAGTGCGTGAGTTAGAATTTTTATTTTTTACTCGTAATTCATAATATTTTTAATCAAATAATTATATTAACATTTACTACATTATTTTTTTAATTATTATTTATTTCTTTATTATACGAAAATTTATAACCAAACAATTTATACTTGTATGCAACTGTTGTTTCTGACTTTCATTGCAATGTACATCAATCATGTTCACACAATAATTGAGTCCCAAGCTTCCATTTATTCACTCAAACCAGCAAATGTTGTCCAGTGATAATCTTTAGAAGGTTCTAATCCTATCGGAATGGCTAAAAGGACTCAAAGGAATGTAGTAAATAATATATTTATGAAGCTAAATTAAGTAAATAACATATTATAAAACTATTTGAAATAAATAGAAATTTACTACGTAAATAGTTTACATGTGAACATCATGATGTATAAAAATGAAGACAGCAAAACATTGATACTTAAAATATGAGAATGCTATAACCCTTACTATTCTTAATATTATTTTTTATCAGATTTTGCGTTACATGTATATATTATTATTATTATTATTATTATTTTGATGTTTTCTTACTTTATTCTGTAACTCACCTCTCAAAATCAATCAAATTATCTAAGATAGTTTTCTTTTTTATTATATGCAATGAATATTAATGGATACGAAATCTGCATACGCTCATGTACCAACTTGTTTATTGAATTTGGATCCTAATAAATGATGTAATAATAGATCCAGATTTATCAATATCTATCTGATTAAACAAAATGTTTTTAATTAACCGAAACAAGTCAATTGTTATATCATTTGGCATTTAAAATTTGATCAACTATTCGGGGCTCACAACATTAGTGTCCTATAAAAAAAAAAAAAAAGTTCTCTAAGACCTTAAAGTAACACTCCGTCTCAATAACCTGTTGAAAGGTTTATTGGTCATCTGATAGATTACACTTGAAATTTAACGATTTAGAAAAGAGAAAAAAGGATAAAAGTAATAATAAGCGAAAATATGTGATAATTTCAAAAAAAATATACCTCGTTCATTTCACCGATTCGAGTTTAGAATTTGAATTTTGTTACAGTAAAAAGCTCTAAAAAGCAGTCACATCTAACTTTTTTACTACAGTAAAAAGTTCTCACATAAATTCACATATCAATTTGAATTAAAAACTCGAATCAGTAAATTAAACAGATGTATATATATATATATATATAATATATATATATACACGAGATTCAACTAAACAGGACTAAATCTTAAACTTTTAAGGAAGAAAGAGGAAAATAGGTCAAGACTTTAGATGAATTAGAATTAATAAGCCAATAGTTTACGTAAGTTAATAAATAGGCCAAATTACTGTTTTTGTCCATAACTTGTCTGGTTATGAACCATAACCTGACAAGTTATTGTCCATAATTCACGGTTTTTGTCCATAACTTGTCTGACTATGAATCATAACTTGACAAGTTTATCCATAACTTATCTGATTATAAATCATAACTTGACAAGTTATGACCTATTAATTTCTATAACTAAAAATTTACCTATATACTTTCTTAAACTTTTCATATGACATATTTTTTTACTATTTCTGAACTTTTAATACAAATACAAAGTGGACCTCACTGAGTGAGTTTTACGAACCCACTACATTTGTGAGGCAGGGCTACTCAATTTCAAAATTAAGCATAAGAACACGTTCGTATTTACTCGAATGGACCCATTTATATAATGAGAGCATTGAAATAGATTAAAGCTCAAAGTGGTGGAGCACATGCATCATCCATGTATGGTCGGTCGTTTGATACAATTTATACACATTTATTTATTTATTTATTTTGGTTTTATGTTCGGTTTCTGTTCATGATAAAAAAAATCGCCACATTAGATGAATTCATATGTCACCACATCAAGGCCATATGAACAACAAAAATAAATTGTAGAACACAAATAAAAAATCATAAAAATTTAAAGTGATTCATTCTTAACGTAAGAATCGTGTCATGAGAGTTTTATTATCAAAAGAAAATAGATATAATGTTTGAGAGCAAAAAATAACATTTTATTGGATAAGAATAAGCCTACAGATAAATCATGGCTCGTTCATTTTACCGATTCGAGTTTTTAGTTTTAAGTTTTTACAGTAAAAAACTCTTAGAAAATGTCACATTTAATTTTTTCTGCTACAGTGAAAAGCTCTCAGAAAATATCACATCTCAGTTTGATGAAAACTCGAATCCGCGAAATGAACGATGCCTAATAATCTTATTTGTTAGAATCTAACAAGATTATTCATGATTAAATATTAATGTATTTGTAGCTTTGTACTTATCCAATAAAAGAATATAAATACGTGGCTACATACACAATAGGAAAGCTCTATATGAACGACTCTTAGCATTTTATTTTCTCTCTCTCCCGACATCATAAACCTATCACGCATTGAAAGTGAAGCACTCTTAAATTATTGGGTTTTGATTTATTTTCAACGATTTTTTATATTATTATTATTCATACATGAGAAATCAACCTTGGTGAGCCACGTGAGGAAACGTATATATTCATGTTATAGTGCGATTTTTTACGGTCAACAGTCACGTTAATGAATTATCAAGGAAAAAACATGTGGTAGTAGTCATTTGATATAATTAGCACTTTTTTTTTTTTAATTAGGGCATTTGGTCTTTGTCCTTTCTGCTACCTCTAAGTATTGTATGTCTTATTTACTTATTTATTTATTATATTATTATTATTATTATTAGGGAGTTTTTTAGTAAGCTAGTTTTAGTGTTGTTAGTTTATGAATATTTAGATCAGGTTAAAACTACATCAGATTAAAAAATATATATAGAATAAATAATTTTTTATACAGATTTAACGGCTGAAAATATAGAACTACCGGTAACACATTTTTTTGATCCTACCAAAATCGTTTACTTATTATTATTGTTAGGAATTTCTCTAGTAGTCTGCCTTTTCAGAAGTCTCAGTTTTTAACCGTTCGATCTAATCAAAATCACATCAGATTAAAAAAATAAACAGAATAGATAATTTTTT